CTTGGCGTTTCCTTAGACAGGTGCGCTCTGAGTGTTGTCTGCTCGCTTGGGCCGTCTTTCTGCTGGTGCTGCACTGTGCTTGTCTGTGCTGAACTATGCTTTGACCGCTTTCAAAAAAGCTCCTCGTTCTGCTGCTGCTGCTGCTTCCCCCTGGCGGTGGTGGCGGTGAGGGCGCGTGGTGGGTGGGGTAATGTCTAAACTCAATCTACCAACAGAATGAAGGGGGGGCAGTTTTCCGCAAGAGAATACGATTTCCTCGCGGAGGGGGTCGAGCTATTGCGCAGCCCTCGTTCCCCGCAAAACTGGGCTCTAACGACGGGCCCACATTGCAAGTACATCCCCATCGGACACATGTTGGGACCCTTTCCCGCACAGGAAGGATCACTTGCAATATTGCCCCATATCTGCCCTTCTCCACGCCACGGTGGCTGGGGGGGGTTCGACAAAACACTCGAGCGGTTGACAGGGGAACGGGTTTCCCGGAAGCCGGCGGCGGCCCCCAGGGGGTGGGTTCAAGAAAAATCACAGGTGGGTGAAATGCGAACGGCATTCCAAAAGTTGGCGGCGGCCCCCTTGGTGGGTCACTTCGTAAATCAGCCCAGATTCCCTGGTGCATGTTCGCCAAAAGGGGTGGGTCGGGGCGACAATGACGACGACGACAATGACGATGACGACGACGACTTGACCCGACGGTATAGCCAATTTCACGGCAAAAAATGAATGGTGAAAACCATTCGTTTCACTCGCATTCTCTGCCTTAGCATAGTATGATGTATTGTGCCACAATGCACCGTCTTTTTTTTGCGAGCGAGCGCGCGTACGCGCGCACGCGTGCGCCAGATGAAAAACAATAAGAGCTAGTGAACTTGACTTCGAAAACTGACGGTGACAGCAAATTGATCCATTCGTATTCTAAGACTCAACATGGTATAGTGTATGAGAGAGCGCGTTTCACGGGCGCTTGCCTTGGGAACATTCGGCGGCGCGTTTCGAACGGGGGGGTGGGGCCCCCCAACACTCGGCGGCGTCAATCAGAACCAGGGGGACTCCCCTCCCCCCTAACCCCCCCCTCGCGACGCCCCTCCCCCTTCCCCCAGGCACCGCCGCCGGCGCTGGCGACCGCCAGCAACGCCGACGGCGGGGACGCAGCGACGATGACCAGAGGTAACCCAAGAAGGGGGGGGGTCCAAACCCCCCCCCCCGCGCCAGCGCCAGCGCCGGCGCTGGCGGCGGCCAGCAGCGCCGACGGCGGGGACGCAGCGACGATTACCACCACTACCACCACCACAACCACCTCAACCCACCACCACCACCACCAACCCACCACACAACCACCACCACCACCACCAACCCACCACACAACCACCACCACCACCACCACCACAGCCACCACCACCACAACCACCACCACCACACCTCACCACCACCACCACCACTCCACCACCACTACCACCACCACCACCAAAATCTACCACACCACCGCCATCACCGTCAACACCACTACCAGCAGCACAGCCCACCGCCACCACAAACGACCACACCACCACCACCACCACCGCCACCGTCACCCATCACCGCCACCAGCACCACCTCCACAAACCACCGCCACCACCACAACCCACCACCACCACCACCACAGCCACCACGACAAACCACCACCACACCACCACACAACCACCACCACACCACCACCACCAAACCACCACCACCACCACCACCACCCGCCACCACAACCACCACCACCACACAAAACCACCACAAGACCACCAAACAACCACAACCACCACCACCACCGCACCACCACCACCACCCTAACAACCCACCAACCACCACCACAAACCACCCCGCCACCCCACCACCACCACCACCACTCACAACCGACCGACCACCGCCAACAAACCACCACCAACACCACACACCACCACCAAACCACCGCCACCACCACCACCACCACAACACAGCCAACCCCACAACCCAGCCACTTAAACCACCAACCACAACTACCACAATAACCACCACATCCACACCACCACCTCGCCAACCACAACTAGCTGCGGACCAACCACGGACCAGCCACGCCACCACCAGAAACCACCGCACCACCACCACCACCACCGCCACCACCACCACCACCGCCACCCCCACCACCACCACCACCACCACCACAGCCCACCACCACCACAACCTCAGAAAGGCCCCAAGAGACGCCCAAGAGGCGACCGTGAGGCTGTACAAATGCCCTTCAAAGCCCCCGAGAGCCCTCCGACGAGATCCCAAGAAGAATCCATTAGGATTCTGACCCAAAACCAAGGCACGGTGGCGGAGCGTCGTCGTCGTCGTCATCGTCGTCGCCGTCGTCCTCGTCGACGCTCCCCGCCACCGCCGCCCGCCGCCGCAGGCGCCGGCGCCGGCCCAGAAAAGGAAGTCGTCGTCCCCGCCGCCGCCACCAGCCGCCGCCGACGCAGGCGCTGGCCCGAGGAGAGAGAAAAGTAGGGGAGGA